ATATATATATATATATATATATATATATATATATATATATATATATACACACACACACACACACTGAGGAAAATAAGTATTTGAGAACTTTGCAAGTTCTCCCACTTAGAAATCATGGAGGGGTCTGAAATTTTCATCTTAGGTTCATGTCCACTGTGAGAGATATAATCTAAAAAAAATTAGGAAATAACGTATGATTTTTAAAAATAATTTATTTGTGTGTTACTGCTGCAAATAAGTATTTGAACAGCTGCCAATCAGCAACAGTTCTGGTCCTCAAAGACCTGTTAGTCTGCCTCTAAAAAGTCCACCTCCACTTATTATTCTAAATTAGAAGCACCTGTTTGAGGTCGTTAGCTGCAGAAAGACACCTGTCCACCCCACACAATCAGTGAGACTCCAACTACTAACATGGCTAAGACCAAAGAGCTGTCCAAAGACACCAGAGACAAACTGTAGACCTCCACAAGGCTGGAAAGATCTACGGGGCAATTACAAGCAGCCATTTTCTGTCAGAATGAATGGAAACGGTCTAAAAATATGTGGGAAATCCATAAATACGTCGCTTCGCCGTATAAGTTGCAGGGCATGCAAATTAGGCAAAAAACTGCGACTTGTACAACAAAAAATATGGTATATACACACACACCACCGGACATCTGCCGGCCTCAAAGATGATCGGCACTGAAAGGCACTGAATGGTATCGGCCGATCACATTCTTTTCAGTGGAAGTCTGCCAAGCATGAACGTGGCCGACTGGAACTTCTCTAGTTTTAATCTTTAATTTAATGTAAACCTTTACGTCCATTCAAAAGCTCTGCTGTCGTTTAGATGTACATTTTATCCAAGGATAACCCAGTTACTGACTTCTTACTGTTACCAATGCGCTGTTCAAAGTCATCACGGTATTTTGCAATTCTTTGCCGTCTAGACAGTTTTGTCTACTTCTGGTTCATTGAAATGCACATAGTCCAGTTTCTTATAAAACTCTGTTTCAGCTGCTCTGCAGTCATTCAGACACCCAGCAACATCACATGTGACTACCACAACTTAAGATTTCCATAAATCTAATTTACAGTAATGTTTGTATATAGCAATTAGTAAATGACCAAAACGGTAGAAATTAGCACCAACCGGAAATAGCTAGGAAAATATTTGATAGTGTTGTCTGATTTTATTCATGAATTTTAGTAACTAAAAAGGTAAATTTGCGGCTTGTCTCTCAGAGCAATGACAACTGTCCTTTTTTTCTTCTCTTTATAACAATGTTTTGAATTGTTTACGACAAACAAGAGGCAGCATGTTAGCAGGGTTTAAATACAGCAGACTGCAGGTTCACAACAGAGGCTAACAACAACCAATTAATTACCAACATCAGCTTGTCAGGCTTCCTGTATTAATTTACCAGAAGCAGAACAGCAAAAGTAAGTACTATAGATACACATAAAAAAAAGTAAAGTCAGGTCATCTGGACAGATTGTAGATACAATTACTCTAGAATAAGAAGCTATAAAAAAATAGCCTGTTATAGCCTTCTCAATAACTTTTTGAGTAGGAGGCTAATGACCTGGAGGCTCCAGCACGTATAACTTAAGTATCATCAGCATAGCAATGAAAATGTATCCCTGCTGTTTAATAGCTTTACCTAGTGGAAGCATATATAAACTAAAAAGTGTTGCTCCAATCACCGGACCCTGAGGAACTCCATGACTAACTTTGGTGTATGAAGATTTATTATTTATATTTACATACCAGAATCTATCAGATAGATATGATTTAAACCAATGTAGAGCTGTTCCTGTAATCCCAATATCGTATTCAAGCCTCTGTAATAGAATATTGTGATCAACTGTATCAAATGCAGCACTGAGGTCTAACAGGACCAGTAGAGACACAAGTCCATTGTCAGAGGCCATGAGAATATCATTAGTAACTTTCACCAGTGCTGTTTCTGTGCTATAATGAGCTCTAAACCCGGACTGAAACGCCTCAAGCAAATTACCGTAATTGCTAGTGTACATGCTGCTACTTTTTTCTCTCACTTTGTACCCCGTGGTTTATATGCAGGAGCATCTTATTTATGTTTTTTTTTTTTTTTCATTATTTTCAAAAGTTATATTTTATTCTGACAGACTTCTTGCCGCTGACAGAGCTGTGTGATCGTAGCTCCCAGCACCCCGCCCTCTTGGGGGTGGGCGTTTGTGACAGAGTGAATGCTCAGGTATCCACATGTACAACGACTCTAGCTCAGGGTTTCACATTCCCTTTGTTTCTGACTATGGAGCTGCCAATAACCAGGGTCTGCTTCTCAGCGGGTGTGTCACTGAGCAAGGAAAATCAATTAGAAATGTGAACGGGTCGGTGGTGGAACGGGGGCTTAGTCTTAGCACTAGGCTTACTCCAAACTGCCACCCGGCTGGCCTGGGGTCCCGGCTGCTTGGGGTTTGCTGGAGGACTGCTAACAGTTGCTAGTTTTGGTGGTTCCCCGCGGTCTAAGGAGACCTGTCCAGTTGATGGTTTTCAACAGTGCAGAGCCGAGCTTCCAGTTAGGACAGCCTCTCCTCCAAAGCTGCCATACGTCTACTTTATGACATGTATCATTACTAGGGGTGCACAGATTGCAGTTTTCTAGCCGATCACCAACCTCTAAAAAGCCTGACCTGCAGATTCTGATTTTGACCGATACCAATTTTGTTTTATAAGCGACACTGTCGGGTGTTATTTGGTCACAATGCACCTTTTCCAATCCTATTTGTTGAAAGTATACCCTTGAACAATATCCTAGAAACAATACAAACTTGTTTTAACTGGCCATCAGGATGTGCTCTGAAATGAAGTTTAGACAATTGTAGTTAAAACTGCAAAAAAATCTGTAAAATAGGTTTCTCATGTAACTGCTGATCTCTATCACCAAAATTAGGGAAATCTGTGCCGAAAAATTGTCCGGCTGACTTATCTGTGTACCCCGAATCATTACTGCTAAAGGAGGCCGAGGAATAGCTGAACATCCGACACACAGAGCAAGTGAAACGGAGGAAGCCGGGAGAGAACCAGAAGCCGTGCTAAGCTAATGCTAGCAAGAGCTAGCAGATCCCAAGTACACCAATAAAAACTGAGAAGTGTTGAAAGATAAAAGGTGTTTCAAGCACAATCCAACAGTAGAAAAACAACTGTATTGAGGGTGTTAGAATGGAAAAACTGTGCAAAAGACAGATCCAGAAAACAAAGTACTCCTCGAGGAAACAAATTACTTGAGCTTCTGGCAGAGGCACTACGCTAGCTAAAACGCTACAGACATAGCGCTTCACTTGTCTCACGCATCGTACCACTACCCCCTCGGGTCGACCCCACCAAAAAACCTGAACAGATGAGCGTCCTGCCAAGGCAAGTGACCTAAAGGAAACACCACAGCATATTTTGGATTGTTTCACAACAATACTGTCAAGTAATTACAACGTGATGATTAGGCAGAAGTTATTTTACTTTCATTTCTGTTTTAAATGAAGACAAA